GTTTTTCTTCCAGATACATTTTTTGACCAACAGGTATTATTTGATCCTAAACATTTTTTTATTATTATTGGAATCGTTAGCAAGTGATATCCGAAGTTCTTTTTTACGTTTAACGATTTAGTTGGAGGTGAATGAGACACTGCCGCTGAATGTGGATGAGATTGGCGTGTTGGACCTCTCGAATTTGATTGTTCAGGGGCCTCGATTATTGCGACAGGCTAACCCGGCCAGTCGCCGTATGCAAGACTCGGCACTGCAATCCACGCCGGCTCTACAATCTCAAATTGCGGCCGACACTGTGCACCGGGAGGAGGCGAGGCGAACAGATGGGTCGGCCTTTATTGAGGATATTCGTGCGTGTGTACGGGCTGAAATGGCTAATGTTATAGCCAGAATATCCTCTGAGTTGTCGGCAATCATTCTAAGGGAGGTGCCGACTATTATTCGACAGAAATTAGCCAATCTGTCCCACCCCCATCTGGGACAGCCTCCTCACCAGTCCGAGCCAGCCGTCAACTCAACGAGACAGCGTTCCGCCACCCACCCCTCGACGAGACAACGTTCCCCCTCCCATGAAAGCCAGCATTCCCCCACCCCCTCCCGTAAGAGACAACGTTCCTTCACTCCCATTTCCAAGACAGCCGTCCCCAATCCCCCCATCGAGACAACGTTCCTTCACTCTCAGATTCCATCATGGATGATGTTTGGTTTGACTTTATAAAACAGAACGTTGATGCATACTTGGGGATTATGCAAAGCAATCCACTCTTTTTGGACTTCCAGCCACGGGTAGATATGTTGGGCACTTACACCATCGTGCCAACTACGTTTTTTGTGAGATTACTTTAATCCTCTCTCTTTTCTTTGTCATTCTATTTTTATTAATAAATATATTAATAAAATTATTATTTATTACTATTATGTTGTATTTTATATAGATGATGCTGGAGGACTTGGAGAAGGAGATCAATAAGGGGGGACTGGACCCCGACTCGGAGATCCTCAATTCTTTGATTCGTATTGCGACTGAGGGGGTCAGCGGTTGGGGTAATCCGTGTCCTTGGAGGAAGTTTCAATATGTAAGTTTTCAATGATTCCGAATCAATTAATATTGCAATCTTTCCTAAAAAATTAGTGAATTTCTCACAACTCAATGCAACAGATTACTGGAGTAGTGAATTTGACCGGCCACTACGTGACTGTCCAGATCTCGTTACACAAGGGGACGATACGTGTGTTTGACTCTCTAAGGCATACGTATTTAGAAAAGAAGAACGAGCACATTCGCGAAAATCGCATCAAAGGACTGCAAAAAATCCAAAATCTAATTCCAGTGATTGCGACGTATGCGGAAGTAAAGGGAATGAACCAAAAGTTCGAATTGGAATTCATGGACCCCAAAAATACTATCTTGCAACATGATAAAATTTCTTGTGGTGTATGCGCTGTGGAGATGGTACGAACATTGCTCACGAGGACGATGCGTTTCAAGAAGTCTAACTATCAGTTGGTTAAAGCAATGAGGCACAAAATTGCTCTAAAAATTTTTCAGTTTAGTACAGAACCAGACACAATTACTGCCCTAGTTCTTTAATGATTCATGTAATACATTTTTATTATTATTATTATTATTATTATTATTTTTTTGCATTTTATTATAATTTTGTTGTTTGTTGTATGTATGTGGAATTTCTATTTTCTCATACCTGAAAGAAAAAAAGTTGAACTAAATTAAACAATGAAAAATGAAAGAAATAAAAAATAAACTTTCGAGTAGACGTGCGAAGGTGGTATGGGAGCAATATGCGGCAATTCGCATACACCATCTCATAACTGAAATAACTGAAAGATGAAAGAAATAAAAAATAAATTTTCGCATAGAAGTGCGAAGGTGATATGCGGAAATTCGCATACCCCATCGCATAACTGAAATAACTGAAAGATGAAAGAAATAAAAAATAAAAACTTTCGAGTAGAAGTACGGTGGTGGTATACGAGCAATATGCGTAAATTCGCATACCCATCGCATCACTGAAATAACTGAAAGATGAAAGAAATAAAAAATAAATTTTTGAATAGAAGTGCGTAGGTGGTGTGCGAGCAATATGCGGAAATCCGCATACCCCATCGCATAACTGAAAGATGAAAGAAAAAAAAAATAAACTTTAAAGTAGAAGTCCGAAGGTGGTATGCGACGAATATGCAAAAAATTGCATACCTCATCGCATAACTGAAATAACTGAAAGATGAAAGAAATAAAAAATAAACTTTCGAGTAGAAGTGCGAAGGTGGAAATTCGAATACACCCTCGCATAACTGAAAGATGAAAGAAACACGAAATAAACTTATTAAACTTATTATGCACCAACTCTGCGAATAGTATGCTACGTTGGTATGTCGCAGTTGTGTCGCAGAAAGATTTTTTCGACTAATAGTCGCAGATTCATTCGCCTAACAAAAATAATTATTTAATGGGCGACGGACCGCGATTGACCGAATCGTACATCGAATCTCCGAATATTCATCGTAGAACAGTCGCATACTTTAACTCATAATTTTCTCGCCCATGCTCATACCTGTCGCCTATTTAGCGCATAGTTCATCGCATATGTCTTCGTACTTTTTGGGGTGTAAAACTTAGCTTTTTATTGGGTGGTGTGAAAAACTTAGTATGACTTCAGAACGGGGTGAAAATAACTATTTCCTCTATATCTTATATATATACAAACGAGTTTGGGCGATTTTGGTGACGACACGTGTCCAATTTCGACCCCTCCGTTGGTCGACACGTGCCATTTGCTATTTTTTTTTTTTTT